GAGCTGTGAGCTGTGACACCGAGACTGCTGCTCACAGTAGATGACGCGACACTGCGTCCTCTCTGTGCTGTACCGTGCTGCCCACAATAAACGGACGACACTGTCGTCTCCGTGCTGTAACACTACGCCGCTTGTCCCGGCTCTCACTCCTTCACTCGGGAAACCTGTTCGGCTGTCCCCCCGGGTCGGGACACCTGGCACCCGAACAGGGACGGGACACCTGGCGCCCGAACAGAGACAGGACAGTCACCAAGTCTGGGACTCAAACCATGGTCAGCCATGTGGGAATCCAGCACCTCAACCACCACACCACCTGCTAACCCTAGTAGCCGCTTTTGAAATAATGGCACCGGGCCAGCAGCTGGCATGGAGATTAAGGTGCAGGATTCCATATGACCAACTGCATGTTTGAGTCCTGGACCCTGGGGCTTGAAAATCACACAAGGTGCATGTGTATGTGAGCCCAAATCCTGAGAAGAGACTGGAGGTGACAGGATTGCAGCAGGGCCATCCTCCCATGGTATGATTTCTCATTTTTCCTCTCTGTCTGTCTCTGGTGAGCTCAGGTACCCTATAACAACAAAAAAAGAAATAGTGATATCAAGAAGATAGAATTATGTGTATCATTACCCTCAAATTTAACAAGTATTGCTGCTAACAATTTTGTCTAGGTATATTTATATAATTGAAAAGACCAATTTTTGACCAATCTTTTTCCCACTTCAAAAACCATGGGAATTTTTTGAGAATGGTAACTTCAAGAAATAGTTTCAAAATCTGTCATTTTAATCTCTACTATTCTGTCATATTTGCATACCTCTGATCCTAGAAATTCATACTTCACTTGATTATAGCATTCCTGGTAGGACTGTCTGATAGAAATGTTTCTTAGGAAGCCTAAAATTACAGCAGTTTAAATTGTAATAAAGCTTTAGAACCCATCCGGTCTTGGGGCCAGTAGGTGGCATGATGGCTAAGGTGCTAGATTCCTACACGGCTAACCACAATTTTACTCCCAGATCCAGTGGCTTGGAAATCATGTGTGTGTGCATGCCCAAGAGGAGAATGGAGGAGAAGGGATTGTGGTGTGGCCATCTCCCTGGGGAGGGAAGGTGATTTTCCTCTCTGGTGAGCACATGCACGTACCCTATGATAAAAACCTTAAAAAAAAAAAAAAAAGAAACACTTGGTCTAAACTCTGTAGTATTCTCGGTTGCTTGTAGAAATAGGAACTTAGGTTATTAAGAGGTCAAGGGCACAAAGGCAGTTACAGCATTACAGGCATGAAATCCAGGTTATTTGGCATGTAGTCTAGGGATGTTTCCATTATACTGTATTACACAAATCTGACCTTGTCCTTGGTATGTTTTTCATAACTAAACCAAGTTTTTCTTTTTCTTTTTTTCCCCTTTTTTGTTATAGGATAGGTGTGATCACCAGAGAAAGAGAAAACACCCTACCCAGGAGGGTGGCCATGCTACAATCCCTTCTTCTCCATTGACTTTGAGATTTGGGGCATGCACACACATGCACTGGGTATGTTTTTCAGGCAGCTGGGTCCATGATTCAAACTGCTAAGTCAGCATGTGGGATCCAGTCACCTTAACCACCATGCCACTGGCTTCCACACCTAGCATCTTGATAATTCTGTTTTTATACTTCTTGATATATATACCCAGCTTCAGAAATTTGATCTTCAAGAAACAAATCTTATATAATGCCTAAGTTTAAAAAAAAAAATCTGTATCTTATTGCTTTACATTTGACCAGGTATTACTGATAGTAATCAAATCAGAGATTGTAATGAAACTATTCAAGTAGCACAAATCCAAGTTTTAGACCCATATAATTTTATACTTTTTGATGAATTTGTAGCTTGAGACCATAGCCCACTAAGTTTGTCCATTATTTTTGCTGCAACTCAGTTTTCAAATAAGTCTATAATTCACCATAAACTGCTAAGGTAGTTCATATCTTTATCTTAATGGACATCTTTGAGAAAACTACTAAAAATATTTTTCTAACTACTAGATTCTTTTTGTTTCTATAGAGAACATGCACTCATGGAGAGAGAACGAGAGAGGGAGAGCGAGAAATCACTGCCCTGGGGAGAGGACGAATGCTGCAAGTCCCTCTCTATTTTCTAGGGATTTGGGCCATATGTGCTCATATGCCTGACATGACTTTCGAGCTGCCTGGTCCAGGACTTGAACTGTGTACTTGGCCATGTGGGACCCAGCCATCTTAGCCTTCATATCACCTCCTGGCTCACCTCCTGCGTTTTTTCTCCTTCAAAGACAGACATTTCCATTGTACTCATTTGTGTCTCAAAACAGAGTGTGAGCGTGT